AGCCAGATTAGTACACATTTCCACGGTGCCACCAATTACTTCCCCCCCAGCCCCAACCTTCCACCCACTGTGGGTGTCCATCTGCCTCCTGCCCACACTGTCTTCTGTTTTGAAAAGCAGAATATGGTCGCCCTATACAGTATGTGTCCACAATGGGAATTTGTGTTCCACATGTTTTGCTCAGGTGTTTCTGCCAGCATGGTCTCTGGCTGTGTGACTTTCTAAAAATGCTCTCAGAACAGGTTTACCCATTTTTTTTTGTTTCTGCTCATGTATTTGATGCCTTTTGTTGTGTCAGCCACACTTCACTGTCTCGACTCGCATTGATTTTTGCCAAGCACTTTTTAAATCCATAACTCTGCAGGTTGCATGCAGAGACACAGAAGCAGTGGTGGTTTGGTGCTCCCAGGCAGCAGGTTTAATACTGACGCAAGAAACACTGAAGAAAAGAAAGTCAGTGGGCACAGACCAGAGCATCACAAAAAAAAAAATCTTTTCTAATTCTGTTTTCTTTAGAAAACCGACAATAACATTCTTGTTCTTTTGCCTGGGTGTCCAGGTAAGAGATGATATGTACGTGCAGTTTTGCTGAATGTCATACACTTCCCTGCTTCATTACCAGTCTTCCTATTTTATTTTCCTCTCACTTCAGCTGAATTACCACATCACTCTCTTTCCACTCCTCTGAGTGATGATCAGCTCACAGGCTCATCTTCTCCACACTGTTGCCATAGGATCCAGTCCAGGACGGGACCTGATCAGACATGGACTGACAATAATAGTATAGGAAAACCTGAATGCTGCTGAATGGTGTGTGTGTAGGGAGGCTTACTGCCCCCAGATTTCTTCCAGGTCATTATTGTGTGGTTACAGAGACTTTGCCTGGAATTGAACGGGGACCTGACTCATTGCACAAAAAAAGAAGTCGAAAGTTGAAAATATACAACAACAACAACATGTTTCCCAAAAGCCCAAGGTGACATCCTTAAATGTCTTGTTTTGTCCACAACCCAAAGATATTCAGTTTGATGTTTTAAATAGGAGCAAAGAAACCAGGAAATAATAAAATTTGAGAAGCTGAAAATTTTTCAAATTTTTCCCATTAAAAAAACACTCAAACTGATGAAAATAATTTCATAGTTGAAAACTTGTCGGTGAATCATTGCAACTCATACAACGCATGTCAGTGGAGGAAAAGATAATACTGGTCTTACATTAATTGTATACCCAAACATCCAACCTGGCCTCTATGATGTGTGAAAAAAGAAAATACTTCTACTACCAAGTCACATGTAAAAAAACCCTGCTCTCTCAGTGTATCCATAGACCACGAGCAGTAAGGAGGAATTTAAGGAATTTATGTGAATTCATTTCAGCAGTAAGCCCACAGAATAGGTAGAAAATAGTACAGATGCATGCAGAGGGCGTGTGAATCAGACAACAGCAGAGTTTAATTTGTGTTGTTTGGCAAATTCATAGAATATTACTTAGCTGCAGCTGTGTAAATCTGCCGCAGTAGTTGTCATTATAGCTGACAAAATCACCGGCCACCAAACAATTTCACCTTTTAGTTTGTTAACACACTGTTAGTTACGAAAATAATAATTGAAGCCACAGCTTTGCTAATTGAAAACTCCGACCCAACTAGCATTAACATAAAGCTTACTGAACACGCCTTCGGTTTAACATGTTGATGGTTAGCATGCTGTTGTCCCTTGTTCCGCTCAGTCGTCTGAAGGTAGCATGCATATCTTCTTTGCAAGGTGCGAAGCAGTATAGTATTTTCAAAATGTTTACCCGAGTGCATTCGGCATTCTGCTGGTTAGTTCTGCCTGGTGTAGCAGGTAATTTTCCTACGCAGAAATATGTGCTAATCCAAAACACAGGGCCTTCTTCCTGTATTTCCTTTTTCGCTTGACCGCCTAGACACATCTGACCAATTAGCTGACTGGACGTAGTTTGTCATGATGCATGTTGGTTCACTTGGATTTTTTTTTTTTTTTAAAGGGGAAAACGCTCCTAGGTTTACAAACTCATAAAGTGATTTTGACCAGAGCATACAAACTACAGGTGTGAAAACCGCCTAAGCTTCAGGGCTGGCTCTAGCCCAGCTGTGTTAAAGGCAGTGTTGGGCAAGTTACTCAGAAATTGTAATATATTACTAGCTGGTTATTACTCCTTAAAAAATATTATTTCACTTATTACTAGGTGATAAAACTAGCTAGTTATGGTTACTCGTTATGTTATTATATTACTTTCACTACCAACACTCCACAAACATGGCAGTCTCCCCCGACCTTTTAATCATATAAAAAACAGCAGCAAGGGGTATAGTTTTTAAAAAACATAACGTTTCTTAATGCCACCGGCTGAAAAAAAAAAATAAAGCAAGTTAATCCCGACTTTTGAACTACTATTTTTCTGCACATACACATGTATTTACAAGAGCAGTATTCAGTATTTTTACTAAACATACAACGTTACTTAATCACTCTCTCCCGACGAGTCCAAGAATCCCTGGCAGTAGCGGCCGGATTTTCAGATGTAGAAATGTTCACGGTTGAAAGCTTTTTGCTGGTTGAACAGAGATTACAACAGACGACAATGTTCTTTGCATCTTAAACTGTTACACAGTAATGGCAGTAGCTACTTACAGCTGGTGAAAGAACGCCTCCCCCATTCTCCATTCTTACTTTAATTATTGGCTATCAGCTGACATGAACACTAAACACTAAAATCCGGTGCCACTGACCTGAGTAACGCAGCGTTACTCGGATTAGTAACTTTAATAATATTACTGTTTTGAAAGAGTAATCCGTTACACTACTAGTTACTGGGAAAAGTAATATTATTACAGGAACTGTGTTATCTATGCTCCCAGCGTCCTAACCCTCTAACCCCATTTTGTCATGTTCTTATGTGCCATATAAATCTGGGGAACATACTGAAGGACCCTGGGAGCATAGGAACCCCTTAAACAGGCTGCAGGAGAAACCTGATGGAACAGATGGTTGTTGTTTTGGACCCCTCTGGATCAGTAAATACCTTTTCCAGTGTGCCATTCAACAGCTTTCTTTTGGTGACATTTCAAACACCATGCCTTGATTGCACTGAGATTTCTGGATGAGAAATTGACTGAAATTGGTTCATGTCCCCTGAAATGTCATGCATGCTAAAACAAGTTAAACAGGTTAATAATTACTGAATATGGCAAGGTTAAGGTTGTTGTTTTATCATGTTTTTGTAACATTCAGCTAACTTGTTTAGAGTGGTTTCTCAGCAGCATGTTTAACAGCACAAACCAAAAGCTTTATGTGCTTCACAAATCAACCACACATGGTGACAGAAGCAGGAGATATCAGCTCAACAACCCCACTGCATTGTTTAACAGATTTTCCATGGTACAGCTGTATGGAGTGTTTTCACGTGACATCCCTGAATACAGAAGTTACCACGGTTATTCCCTGCTGAGTGGCAAACCAAACAGTCAGCATATGTCTTTGTGCATTCAAAGGCGCTGCTATAATGGTAAAGAGCTGTGGTGCAATTGATCAGATTCAGAAAGAAAGAGTGTTTTGACAGTGGTGGAGAGCGCTGTCAAACATATGGCATCAAAATCTCCCTTAGGTGTTCAGTTAGATTGAGATCTGGTCAATGTGACGCCCATAGCATTATGATTCACATCATTTTCATAGTCAAACTACTGAGTGAGCCCTAGACTTGTATGGAACCATCTGCAATTGTTATGGTAATAAGCCCAGGTATTCATATATTTCCTTTATTTTGTCATCCTGCCAAGTGATATATGTCAGAAAAATAGTCCTTACCCTTTACCCCCCCCACCTTGTTTTTTTCTCCCCACTTTGTCACTCTCTGCTCCAGGAAATCAGGTTGGTTGTCTCAGTGAACTCTTTTCTTAAAATATACTTATGTAGAAGTGCCTTTCCTGATTTTAGTTGATTTTATTTAATTCTATTTTACATATATATATTATATTTTCTTTTAACTGTTTCTTGAGTTTTTTCTTGCTTTGTGTTGTTTTTAATGTCTTTGCACTTGTTAAAGCACTTCGTAACATGTTTTTTTGAAAAGTGCTCTATAATTATTATTATTAATATTATTATTATTATTATTATATTCAGAGACACCACTTGTTGAGTAGTTTGGCCACTTAGCATTGGTTGAGGGGGGTTGTATGACGCTGGAAAATGACATTAAGGCCTTCCCTCTATTTACTCATTGAACAGTGTCATGAAATGTTTGCAGCAAATGTAATCTGCCCTTCAGTTTTCCGACCCTAAATGGAAAATCAGATTTAAAATTGTCATATGGTTGAACAAATTCAGTATCGCTGTGACAGTCCATACAATAAGATCTGACAGCAGGAGCTGAAGGTTTTAGTTTATGATGATCTCAGTCCCCTGCAGGAAGAATCGGACTTAATGTATATTCTTAAGACAATCTCTTAAAATTATACAAATCAAGTTGTTTTCAAATACTATCCTGCTTAACTAAATGTATTTGCTATTTTCCAGGGTGGATTTACAGGATATAGCCTACAGGTGTTCATGCACCTTGAAACCAGAGTTCGTCTTTTTTCCGAGCTGCTGTGAAGGCAGCACAAGTCGTCCGCAGGTCATAGAAGTTTTCATAATGATTTAGTTTCGCTTAACTTTGGCTCATTCTTTCCATTTTACTGCGCAGTCGATCGGCCGTGGTTACACAAGGGAAACTCGATAGCTTTTATAGAAACATTACTTCCCATAACCAACCCCCCCCACACACACACACACACACGCACACACACGCACACACGCACGCCTCTCAGGCGGAAGCGCAGCGGTTCGCTCCCCCTAGCGGCAGAGCGCGCAGCCGAGGAGCGTCGTAGCGCCGGTGTCCGTCCCCCTGTCAGAGTGAAAGTTGTCTCCGCTCTGAAACGCGGGGGGTTCGGGACTCGCTAGTTTCCAGCGCCGCTGCTTCACACGATTTCTCCCGGAGAGATGAGGCGGAAAGAGAAGAGGCTGCTGCAGTTCGCCGGGCTGCTCATAGCGGCTCTTCTTTTCCTCCCCAACGTCGGGCTGTGGTCTTTGTACCGGGACCGGGTGTTCGACAACTCGCCCGACACAGTGGACGGTGCGGGCGGCATCCCCCTGATACAGGTAAGCGGCTCGGCCACGGGTGGCTTCGGCGCAGCGGTGAGGTCTTCACGGCTGCCCGCTGTGTGTCAGTTGTCGCGCGTGAAACAGCTGCGACGGCATCCGGCAGAAATCCCTCAAATGTGAGTTTGGTCGCTGCAGAGGAGGCAGAGCTTTGTGAAACGCTGCGTGACTCCCGGTGCTACTGTGCTCGCCTCAAGCGTTTACCCCCCAATACCATCAACTTTACATTCCCATACTGTGCGTGTTTACGTGCCCATAGTGTGCGTGTGTTTTACAAAATGAACATCCTTGTTAACACTGTGTCAGCAAACAGGATGGATGTGGAGCCACGTAGCTAACCCGAAGCTGGGCGTCGCAGTAAAGTTACAATAACACGGACTTCAGGAAGTTAATGTGCACCAGGCGGTGCTGCGTTCACATGCTGACAGGCGTCATCGAGCAGTTAAAGGTGCAACATGAGGGTCAGATTTAAGAGCAGGGTGCAGACTGTGTCCCCGGTGTCATCACTCTTTTTCCATAGTTTAAAGCCCCCTTGTGTAGAATGTGTATCTTATTCTAAGCATGCAGGGCTGCAACTGATTATTCTCATGGTCAGTTAATCTACAGTGGTGTTGATTCATTATTGAGGAAATGCCATGATCATTAAAACTGTTGTACATTTTCTTTTGCTTGATAGAAATTAATTAACTGTTTCCTTCAAGTTATGTTGATGGTACAAGGTATTGTGGGAATAGAAGTGAGACCCGTCTTGGTGAGAACTGGTGCAGTTCATGTGATGGCAAAGTCAAAATTGCAGCCTAAGCTCTTGTATCCCCTCTGTTTTACTCATGAGTACATTTAAGAGAGTTTGTTTTGTATCAGAGATCCTTTAAAGACTCCACCCAGAACAAAACATATACTGCGTCACATCCATCCAAAGTGTTTTATGTCTTGGCTCATCTAATAATGTATTCATATTTTTCAACTGCCCTTTCTGGTTGCCATCTTTATTTGGTTGAAGTGATTAAGTCCCACTTTGTAAAAAGGGTTTAAAATCAATTTGTCTGAACAGGAGATTTTTGTACTAGCAGGATAGAAGAGTCTGAAAGGATTTTGGCATTTTTTGTCATTAGGTTGTGGATTTCAAGGTTCAACTTTACTTCTTTTTTTGAAGGAAACAGAAGCTTGTTTCTGTGACTTGAGTTGAGTAAAAAAAGATGAATAAACAAAAGGCACAAGCTGGAGCTCTGTGTTGTCTTGTTGGTCCACATAGGAATTCAAAAACCACACCAAAATGAACCCTGTTTGGCAGACACTTGTAGCTCCTCTAATTCAAATGCAGCGAATCTACTGAAAGAAGGCTTTCACTGATGGTGCGTATGTGCATGTGGGTTAGTGTGAGTTTTGGACGGTGGTGGTGTTTGTCCAAATCCAGCAAACTTGCTTGACTGGATTGATTGTAGAAGTTTGGTGAAAAGGACCAGTCGAAGGCAGAGTTCTGATTTGATGTTTTTGCTCGGGATTCTTCTGAAATGCGTGTTACATGTATCTCTTCCAGCAGAGTAAAATCAGATACCTCTGTAAGCAATTATTTTCATTATAAATTCATCTTTCCATCTGTAAATGTTGACAAATCCCTGTCACAAGTCCACAGCGATGTTTTCTATGTCTTGTTATCAGAAGCTAAAGCTAATTTGCAGGCTGAATTGTGGAAATGATAAAGCCAGCTTATTTTGCACTGATCTTCTCCAAGGATTACTTTTCTCAGCTCGTTTGGATTTGGATTTGATATCTTAAATGACAAGAGATGTTATGACGGGGATTAAAGGACATCTGCAAGGCCCGGGACAAGCCTGTTACATAATAATAAGTTAACTTTACACTGTTGGATAGAACACAGAAGATAAAATGAAGCCGCGTGAAAAAGTGAGCTAAAACTAACACAATATGTAGTAAAATACACAATAAAATGCACGTTAAAATCATTGTACGTAATAAAAAACACACATGCAGACCGGTTGCATACAGGTTACTCCTGTCTAAACAGGTGTGTCTTTAGCTGCCTTGTGAAAGAAACCACGGAATCAGGAGACCATACAGGTGCAGGCAGAGCTATCCAAAGTTTAGGTGCAACAACCTCAAAAGCTCGACCCCATGGGTCATAATGCAAGTGCGTGGGACAGACAGTGAGTTTAGCTCTTTTGACCTTGGAGAGAGAGCTGATGTGTAAAGGCATAGCAGCTCAGCAACATATGCAGGGGCCTGGCTGTGCAGAGCTCTGTAAGTAATTGCGAGGATCTTGAACTGGATCCTATATGCGACATGGGGCCAGTGAAGAGGCCTGAGGATAGGGGTGATGTGAGACCTCGTGAGAAGCCTCGTGGCAGCATTCGGTCATGCCTGCAGATGATCAAGGGCAGACGTGATGATAAGAGATGAGAAGTGTTAGAGAGTGTTTCCAGTTGTCGATGCAGGATGAAATTTCCGCTTGGACAAGCATCTCTAGTTCAGCAGTTGAAATTACAGATCTCAGTTTGCTGATATTTCTTGTTTGAAAAAAACCTGATTAGCATAACATGGGTGTCAAAGGATGCAGATTAATTTAATTTTATTTTTATGAGAAAACAGCTGTGAACCTTCAGAACAGTTCAATAAAAGACGGGGTCCTAAAACGTGTGACAAACATTTGGAACTAGTTTAACAAGGTCCGTCTCAATTACTTCCTGTCAGACAAAGATGGCAATCGTCAATAACAAGTCACCTGTTAGGCAGTCATCATTATTTCAGTTTATTTATTCAGAATCTGACATGTTGAGTCATTGTAAGCAGCTCTGATTCATTCCTGCCAAGCAGTCGTCAGCTGTCATCATCTGAGGCGAGTCTGACTCTGATTCTGAGGCATATTGTCTCGTGATCAATATAGTGACTAGATGAAGCGCAGTTTGCCCTTTTCATTAAATATGTGTGTTATAGGGCTTCTGCATGTTTCTTCACATGCAGCTGTTGTCTGCCACTTTTGTCCTTTAGTGGCTCTGTTTTCACATCTCGCTGATTGAACAGATCATCCACGTGGCCCGCCTCAGATGCAGATATGCAGGTACAACCCCGACCTAAGCACTGCATAAGAGAGTCTTTCTCTGAGGGGTTGACCTCTGTACTCCACTAACAAAACTGTATCTAATACAGCAGCTACAAGCAGTGTAAGCTGTAATCATGCGGCCATGAATACGGTGCCTGAATGAGTATTTCATACCGCTTTAGCAAACACGAGCTGCCACAGAGCTTCCCCGCCGTGACAGTGACAGAAAGGTAATTTGCACATTTCCCGTCTCATATTTAGGATGCCTGTTGAAGCAGAGGTGGCTCAGCTTCCACCTGCCTGCTCCAGCAGCTCAGGTTAAGTGGAGGTTAGAGAAGATGAGAGCAGTGGATAGAATTAAAAAAGAGGCAGCATAGTCTGACCCGCACCTGCTGTGCTGCTCAGCTAACTGCCTGGCTGACTGGACAGACGGTCTTCACTGGATGAGATGCATGCGTGTCCCGGCAAAAGCCTGGCAGACTTGTGCAAATGCATTTACTTCCCCAAAATGTTCCCATCCAGCTTTTGTTGGACAGGCAGGAGTGGCATCACCAATTTTGTAAGATCAGTTGAGCGTCATGATGTCTCAGATATTTTAAACACGTTCCACCATGATGGATTGGGGAGCCTTTTTGATCTGGCAGAAGTCAGCAGGCTGTGTTGCCATCCAGATTTACATTTTGACGAAACAATAAATAAAAGTTAAGGATGATAGTTTGGAGCAGGAAAAAGCCGAGACCAACCATCAGTTATCTCATGTACACAATGACATTGACTTTGTCTCAGTAGTCTCTATGCTATTACTGGTGAAGGCTGCGCGTCCATGGGCCGCGATTGGAACTTGGTTCCGCCTATACTGATATACTTGGAGTGATTAATTGGTTGACCTCTAGAAAGCACACAACATCATTGATTGTTCCTGTCACCAAAAACACTCTCCGCCTCCAGGTTATCCATGCTGATGTAGCAAAGAGAGGATGTGCCAGTGTTTTCATCCCGCTGGACGATGTGATGAACAGACTCTTACCAGCAGATACAGCTTAGCTGCACTAGGTAGCCAGCGAGCAGCACAAAGTTCACTTATCTGTGCAGATAAGCAGCTGGCTGTAAAAAGAAACAAGTGAGCCCATGTCTGGGGGTTACGTGTTTGTCCTGCATGCCTCTACAACATGTAACATTACACAGCCAGTCACCAGCATTATTAGATCTTGGTGCAAGCATGCTGCATGCTTATTGGCTCACTGATGCTGATGAGATTTACTCCTTAGGTATCTATTGATTAGGCATTTTTCAATACCCGTTAGTATCAAGCAGTTTGATCGGTGTCATAAAAGTATCAAAGTACAGTACCCTGGCCTGGTTGCAGCACCCGTCATCCATCCCTGCAGCACCCACTTTGGGAAGTGTTCTGCTCCAGACCCAAGATTTAATGAGCCAAAACTCAGTTAAAGCCTGACTTTTTACCATGGCAGACAGGTTTCATATGCAGTTCCTGATGTGGAGCTTTGAGCCTTTTCTTTTCTCTTCTTTTCTTAAACAAATGTGATTTAAACGTGATTTTCCAGCAAATCCGAAGTGAAAAATGTCTGCATGTTGCTGTACTTAGTCTACCTTCAAACCTCAGGGTTCAAATCTACCAAATCTAAGCTAAAAGGCTTCACTGTTAAAACCTTCCAGCCAAACAGTTGCGGATGAAACCGGCGTGAATTATTAATTACATAAATGAGAAAATGAATCAATAATTCCTCTAGCAAAGGTGTTCATCTTTTAGTCATATGAAACAGGAATCGCTTTTGAGCTCTAATAAAGGGATGTCATTATTTTTGACATTTGACTAAATGATTTGCCAAGAAAAATAATCACTGATTGCTAAGCACCCATGGGAATGCAGATAAGTAGAGACCAACCCTGCCTGAACTGTTTGAGGTGGGTTAGCCCCAAT